GTCAATTCACTTTGTGCCCACTTTGTTTGCTTCTATTTATGTATGTATGTATGTTTTGATATGCACATATGTGTATCTATGCATGTACGTATGTGTGGAATTATGTACATATATATGCATGTAGTCATTTTTACGTATAGCCATTTGACATTGCTATTAGGTGTAGGCTTTTAACCCTCAAAGAGTGGTCTAAATAGAATCTGCCCCAACGAAGATGGATTCAGCTTAGGTCTGCAAAGCCGCTTGATTTACATTACCCTTCTTACAAACATGGCATACTTGTTATAAAAATTAAAAAATTCAGAATAAAATCATGTATAAAATGCAGCCTTATCTCTTTCTCACGCTCTCAATCACATTATTGAGCTCTCTATCTCTCTAAATAAATATAAATATATATAGATGATGGCAATCGGCGAGTTAAGGTCTTCTTTACTCCATTCAGTATTCACAAATCCAATGCAACCATCGTTCTATATTCGATGATGCCAATTTATAAATCCCTTCCACTCGCCTTCTCAAACGGAATGAAAATTGAGACATTTGAAGAGTGAGTTGCAGCTATGATGATCTTCATTCTATAATGGAGGATGTCGTGTGGCTTGTGTCAATTTGAGCTTAGTATTAAAGCCAAAGATCTGCATAACAACACGAATTGATTATTGTTTTGTGGTGGGATTGGCATACAAATATCTTTATCGTGAACTTTTATACGAAATGAAATAATTGGAAACGACATTATATTCGGGGATTTGTCAAAACGCAGTTATTCTTGCTATCTTAAAAACGAATTGGCAAAAAGTCCCATAGAAAGTGTGAAGCGTCGAACATCCCCTCTCGCGAATGAGGCAGTTTGATAATCTACGTCTACGGTGGCCCACGAGTCCGTCGACCTTGTCGAAAGGCCACTCGGTCGACAGACGAACTCTGCCAGCCTCAAAGGCAACCTTCACCGACGTACTTTTCTGCGAGGCGGTCCTTCCGATGCCTGTTTCAGCCTCTCCGCCAGTCTGCCCGACTCGACCGGCGACTTGTTGTGTCGGCGAGGCGTCGTTGCGTGTCGTCATCGCCGACATGGTAGCCACGGTGCTGAGCAGGCCCGGGCTGATTGGCGACAGACTCGAGCGCAGGCCCGTCCGAACCGCCTCGGAGGGTCGAGCCGGCCGACGCGTCTTCGTCTCGCCCGCCGACCGGTAGCCCCAAAAAAGACGCCGTCCATCCTCCCTCGACTCGGCCCCTCCGGCCTTGGCCCTTTTGCCCGCCTCCTCCGACCTGGAGCCTCGCTTCGGCCAGCCAGCAAGTCTGCCCAGTCGGCCCTCGACGGCCGGTTTCGCAACTCGCCTCCTCGCCGAATCCGACTCCGGCTCCGGCTCCGGCCTCGTCGAGCTCGAGTCCGGGCTGGCGTGTGCAAGACGCGCCTGTCGACGTTGTCGA